CGAAGCTAACATTTAGCTGACAACAGACACTTCCCATAAGCTCATCATGTGTCACTTCACGTGCTTTGTTACAAATGCATATTGTCTTGGTTTTATCTTCATCTCCTTTCCATTCATACAATCCATCTTCATTTCTTTCCCAAATACTATCATACCTTACACACACACATGTATACAAATCTTAAATACCATCCATTTTTCTGTAAAAACCAACAACATTCATCATTTCCTAAATCCAAAATCAGTTTTCGGATTTCATACCCTACACCCATATCAAAGTATATAATTTTAAAAATGGAATGATAATAGACGAAATTGATTAGGATTTATAGCTATTGTACCTTATAAGCAGATTTTTCATCAATCGTCCCAAAAAAACGACGCAAAAATCGTTCCAAAAGCTCAAAAATCTGTAACAATGGAGGTGCCCTAAAGGGAACGATATAACAGGAAGCGAAGGGGAGAGATGACGGACGAGAGTTTCGGGGCAAAAGTGCTTTTTTCAAATAAAAAATCCACGTGTGTTTAATTTCATTTTTGAGGGCATTTTTGACTTTTTCAAAACAGGGATATTTAAGTAATTTTGATAAAATAATGGTGTACAATTTGTTAAAATTTCCCGTCCTTGTTTTGCTGGTGTACGCCTGAAATTCGTGCGACCCAGGTCATGCATTTTAGAAATTTTACCCTTGCTCGCATCTATTTCACTTGTACACCTAAAAAAACATAACACATTTTTTTCCTTTGAAAAGACAAAATTACCCTTAATGAATACACGATATTTATCCGTTCGAAAACGGACTTCTTTATTACGACTTCGTAATTAATTCTAAATATAGTTACAATCGATTCTAAAAAAGGTGACAAAAAAATCATCTGTCTTTTTTTAGTTGTATATCAGTTATATGTTAGTCGTAATAAAATCGCAAAAAATAAAACGAAAAGGGTATTTTGGACTTTTTCAACCGAAAACTGGGTTAAAATTGAAAAAAAAATAATAATAATTTTGGTGGTGTACCCTGAAATAGCTGCGACCCAACTGGTTATTAGGGTTAAAACCTCTTTTTTTTATGGGGACGAAAACCAGGGAGGGATATTTATACGTTTTTCAATTTTTCATCGTTCTGATGTACTTTTTATCAAATTACCAACCTACCCTTTATTTATAATGGGCTGGCCCAATATATTGATAATGGGCCTTATAATCAGAACCACAAACCCATGCACACTTATTTTCTATAATGTGATCCATATCGTTTTGTTAAAAATAATTCGATTTTTTGGGTGACAAACTGATGTATGGCACATTATTAATTGGTCGCACATGATTTTGTATCACATGACTTCACGTTCATATAGCAATAGAGACCCGCTAAATGCTAGTCTTTTTTTTTTTGTGACAATGCTAAATTCTAAAAATGCCTTTCATGTTATTTATATTTATTAATTATGTCATTTATTTCTTTTAAAATAATCACATTCACATTCAATATAATTGAATTAGTAAAAAATTATAAAAATAATTGTCTTATATTAATATCTAGATGTTTATCGTGGTAATTAGATTTCTGAAATCAAATATTTTATTCAAGATAATAAATGTGAGGCGAAAAGAATAAATAATTATAATCACAAGGGGATGTAGCTCAAATGGTAGAGCGCTCGCTTTGCATGCGAGAGGCACGGGGTTCGATCCCCCGCATCTCCAACGTATTTCAACTTTTTTTTTTTAAATTTTCATTTTATGGGTGGAATCTTTACGTATCTAAAATTTAAAAATTTGATAAATTCATTAAATACAAACGTAATCTGATAATATAAATACAGATTGATCCAAATATAAATTTTAGAACCATCTATAAAATTACTATAAATTCAAATTTCAGCTGGATATATATACTTACAATTGTAAATGTACAGTCGGGTGCACAAAACACCCCACGAGTTATGGGGAAGGATTCCACCGTTGTGGTGTATACTATTTATAATTAGTAGAAAAACAGAAAAATATATACATAAGGACTCAAATATATCTTTTAGGTGTGTATTCAGTTTACAAAAAAACATCATTTAATCCCTAACAAAACAGATGAGACTATACATAAATACAAATACAACATTTAACACCAAAAAAAAAAAACAAATGAGATTTACACAATACGTTTTTTGATATACAAAGAAGATTTAATGATATTGGTTTGTTTACTATAAAAAAATTATTCTGTTAGAAAATAATTTAAAAATCGTTTAAAAATAATTTATCCATTGTAACACATAATTTAGCTCTCAAAAAGGATTTTTTTTTACTACAGGAGTAGATCATTATATCAAAATGTTTCGAACTGTAGTCACCCCAAACTTTTCGGCACTCAGAAGCTCAGACAAAGTTGGAATAATAGTTGCAAAATTATATGTATACGTATATGTATATATGTGCATGTATATTTCTTTATAACAAGGATGATTCTCTGGACCTTCGATCCGACTATATCCATACTATATTCGAATCAACCTTTGTATATAGACTATTTTGGTGTAGAAATTATATATCTCTCCACCAGTGAAATCGAATTAAGACCTTGGGAATGATTTTATCATCTTTCAACCACTATACCACCAATTGTTGGATTAAAATTTATATGTTTTTTTTATACATGTGCATACCATCATGGAATTGAACCGTGGACGTGGAGAACACTTTGTGCTCCCACAACCACTAGGCCATCTATTGTTGGTTGTATGTGTATGTTTATACAAATTAATATATGTATATATATACGTATATGTGCATGTATGTATGAATATGCATATATGTGTTTATGTATGTATGTGTTGATATATTTTATTTTTTAATTTTTATATATTTACTAGGCTAGGACCCGCGCGATGTGCGGGTGATTACTGATTTTATGTATTTAATAATATATTGAAATTAAATCTATTTTTAAATTTATTTATAAATTATAGAGTTTATACCGAGTAAATGAATTTGTGTATATCCTAGATTTTTAGCATTTATCGTAATGCGTTATGTTGCAAGATTGAAGTAATATTGTTAACGATAAATATTAGGAGTTGTAGTTTTAAGGTTAAATATGTGTATACTTAGGTTCCTTTTTAATGAGTTGTTACGCGATGTTTGTCGAATGTGTTCAAACTCGTACGCATAATAAATAAAACCGT